ATGCATTTATTATGGTTACTTATAATTCCCAGCAACACACATGAAAAGCAAAAAAAGAAATGATGCTGCTTCTTTGAAGAAACAGCAAAACTAAAGAGATCTGGAACATCTGCTTCACTTGTTGGAAACCTGAGCTCACAAGGAGCTCGTTTTCTGGAAACAGGCACTAGAGACTTGATCGGTGCCTGCGATGTATATCAGGTCTCAATTTGGGCTGACCTTGCCAGCAACCCTGTTTTCCTTTTAATAGCTATCTATCTACTCCAGGCAGTGCTGAACCTCATCTATACCTAACAACTGATGGAACCAGTATTTTTCCACATGACCTCCAACTTTGCAGTGTCTCTAAGAACTGCTACGACACTTTCAGAGGTAATTAAATCCATCCAGAGGGATGTGACAGTCAGTGTAGTACAGGTTTTTTTTCATGTAGGTGAGAAGTCACATGGGAATTCCCAACTTCAGGATAGAGTAGAACAGTTCAGTTGAAATGGACCTACAAAGATCATCAAATCCAACCACCCAACCACTTCAGGGTTAATAGTTCAGGTGAACAGTCAGTAGTTCTGACGGTGTTGTCCCAGTGCCTCTTGAACACTGACAGCATGGGACATCTACCGCCTCACTAGGAAGCCTGTCCTATCATTGGACAGCCCCCAGGTCAGCTTAGGTTAAGCCTAGCAGGTGGTCTCCCAGCATGATGAAGAAAGCTGTGTGAAAGCCCCTGCCAGGAAGGCCAATCTTTTAATACTGTTCATAATGAAGAAAGCAAAATTCATCTTCAGCCTAACATATCTGCTGAAGCAATGAAAGCCTTCTGGGCGTGCGTTCTTTCCTTGTTAGCTATCACAACATGCTCAATCTTTAGTTTTTTTTCTATTTTTGCTTTTCTTCTTTAAATCAGCAGTTAAATCATAAATGAAAACTAGTATCACTCCAGTAAATCAGAAGATTAGAATTTATTAAATAAAACAGATTTGAAGCTTACGAGTTTATGTTTAAGGTGCAGATTTTAGTTTTATAAACAAATACATCATCCTAAAACTTTGCATTTCTTTCCCAGAATGAGTTGCCCTCATAACTATAAAGTTCCCAGCACTGAGTTGTGTGCCTGCATTCCCCACGCAGCAGTTTGATGGTTTTGAATTTGGGTAACGACCTCAAAGTGAAATTGAAAGGCTTTGCATGTGTTGCAAGATTAAGGCTGAAACCTTGGAAGCTTGGATCTGAACTCTAATCCACAGCAGCATACTGCAAACACCTCCTCCTCTTCCACTCTTTTCCTTCCCCCTTTTCCTCTTCCATCCCTATGAATCATTTGGCAAGTATCTTTGTTTTGAGGCACCAAAAAAGAGTGTAGCAAATGACTGCAGAACACTAACACTAAATTTCTCTAACAGGCAGATAAATATAATCAGATTTCCTTCACCTTAACTGTAAGAACAAATCTGTAAATTGAGTGCTGTTGCTTTTAAGGATGTGGCTGAAGCAGGCTACAACATGGCTTATCATACCAGTCTCTGAATGGAGAAAAATTGAAAGAACACATTGTGAGTGTCAATTTTACTCCTATTCAGGACAAACCTCCTTTATTCTTAGCCCCAGCATCTTCTAGTCCTAGCATCTTAGCCCTAGCATCTTACGCTGCCTATAACCATGCTCTTGAATAGGGAAAAAAAATTGGTTGGCTTCTTACAGCTGGCTCAGCTCTGTCCTTTCTCCAAGGCCAGCAATTAAAGCACCTTCAGCTAAAGACACTGCCACAACTACCTTGCAGCACTTGGCTGCTCTGCCAGAGTCTTTCATTACAAGGTCTGAAGAGAAATTAAAGTACTAAGGCCCCATTTCTAGCAGTATGTCCAGTGAGTCTGGACGAATGGGCCGCTGTGCCCATGTGCAGCTCTGCTGGTCCCAGTGGCATTCAGCATTTACTCAAAAAGTGTTGGGATATAATTATGCAATAAGCAATCTCCCTCTTAGGTCTCCTACTTCTTCCAGGTCCATTCCCATATGGCAAGAAAATAGGAGAACTTGTTGTTTATATCGTGTATAATTCAATGGATGGAGCATTTTGATGTACTGTGTCTGTGTGAAATTAGTTCACCCAATTTGAATTTGTTCACACGTGCAATTTTCCAAAAAGGAAATACAACTGGGTAGAATTAATCTCAGTAGCTTTATCACGAGGATTAAACAAAACATCTATTACAGGGTTCAGGAAAAAAAATTGCATAGGCACTTCTATATATGTGTTTTTGTGGGCTTTAATCCCACTGCGTACACATCTGAAAGCTTAACTTTAACCTCTAGAACGTGTTAATTTAGGAAAACAAGAATTTATCTCAGAAGGACTGCAGTTTGGAGGATCTATAGTAACTAGAGAAGTAACTACCAAAGCTAACCAAGCATGTGAACATCTGTCTGATCCTGTTCCAGCACATGAGATTACTGCTCCTAACCCTTTGCTGCAGCACCAGAATGAGCTGCTGAAGGGAGACAGGCAAAACTGCTCAGTATTGGAGAGCCCTGCTCAGGGAACACACTTTAGAAAATCCTTTTTGATCCCCCCTGCCTGTAACAGGAGGTGCAGGCAGTCCCTTGCACGTTAATCCCCACGGTGGGGACACGGCGTTACATTGCAGACGTCTGGGACGGCAACCAAGAAACCTACTTCTCAGGCATAGAGCACCCTTTGTCTCACTGCACTGCCAGGATTGTGGGAAAACACACTGGGTGTTTTTTTGTTGCTGTTTTTGCTTTATTTTTGCAAGGTTCATTGTCTAGCCATGAGATGCTGCCCACAGAATCACAGAATCACAGAATCACAGAATCACCCGGGTTGGAAGGGACCCCAAGGATCATGTAGTTCCAACCCCCCTGCCTAGCAGGGCCACCAAACATACACATTCAGATCAGGTTGCCCAGGACCCCGTCCAACCTGGCCTTAAACACGTCCAAGGATGGGGCATCCACAACCTCCCTGGGCAGCCCGTTCCAGGGCCTAACCACTCTCCTAGTAAAGAACTTCCCCCTAACATCCAACCTACAGGTTTAAGATCTTCTATTCATCTTTCATTTTAAAGCCTGTTACAATGGAAAACTGAGAAAAGATGCAGTACTTAGCAAGGACACATTGTCTGTAACTTCTGCTTTCTCCACATAAAATACCCAAACATGTATGCCAAGTGTAAGAGGAGCCCTTCACAAGTCATGCTAACTCTCAAAATCAGCTGCTGTGCAGTGACAAAATCTGAAAATAGTGAGAGAAACTGAACTATCATGACATGGCATACTTGGGAAAGTGAGCTGCCTTGTGAACTTGTTCCTACCATTCCACTTGCTTTCTGCCTCCATCTTGTTAATTCAGTGCATGGGTGGAAATTTGGGATGCTGGATTTTTGCTGCAAAAAACTTGGCATCAACGTATGTGCCACGTATGTGGTAGCTAAGGAGCAGAAGCTGCTTACACAGACAAGGCTTTGAGGAATATTCTGTTCTGAAAACAGATATCCTGGTCAATCCAAAGCCTTAGGATAGCAATTGCCCTCTCTTGTGCTGGTGGAGTTATTTTTCTGTGCTTCTCACAGTGCAGCTGTCCATCTTGCTCTTATGCAACACAAGGTGACACACTGCTCCTTCATTAAGTAGCTCGGGTTGGCATCATTCATCAAGTGTAGTTGTTCAGGAGCAGATATGGTAAACCATACAGGCTGATGTAAAGTCAATTCTGATACCTATCCATCTTCTCAGCCCTTTGAAAGACCAGCAAGAGCTGAAGTGAGTAATAAGGAAGCAACTAACGTAATTATCCCCTCTGCACAAACCTCATTGAGGCCCTGCCTGTAACATAAGAACCTCCCTGCTCCCAGGGAAACTTTCTCTTGTTCAGGCCAGGACTGGTTCCAGGAGGCTCATGCTTTGCCTAAAAGAGCAACTTACTCAAATAGGGGGAGGTAGAACTTTTTCTCCCTTTTTATTTTTTCTCTCACAGTCATACAGGCCTGTCACTGTCAGGAATCATGCCCCATCTCAGTTCATACCATCCTTTTAAATCTGATGGTATCTGATGGTAGAGCACAGGAAAAACAAGGTCAGTAGTTGCTGCTGTTTTCTTGGGAACTGACAGGCCACATCTAAGGTCTCCCTAGAGAAATCTACTTTAATTACAAGTTAAGCTGATGTTCCCCTGTGTAGTAGGTAGAATCAAGGAGATTACTTTGAAAAGGATTGCACTGATCTGCTCTGGTGACAGTTTCATTTTGAAACTCTGATAACAAGCAAGTGGATGGAATATAAAGATGTGGTTTTCAGGATGGCACGTGACTGACAATGCGAAGAGGACCACAACAGCCACTCTTTCTTTCTGCTCTTCTTCTAAGACCAGATGAGTTCTATTTGGAGCACTGTGATTACTGTGTTTTGTTTTAGTGGTTACTTGATACAATTATAATGAACAGAGCAAAAAAATAAAAAGTTTGGAAGCTGTAGAAGGGAAATCCCACAGAGAGCAATTATAGAAAGGATGTTTTCCATCCTGGAGAGAATGACCACTTCACATTTTTCAAGCATAAAACAATGAGAACCACATAATAGGTTGCATGCTTTCAAGTGCTTGAATTATGAATAGATGCTGGGAAAGCAAATGATTATTAATTGGTTCTTAAAACGCTTCTATGCTAACCCAAGAAATTATAGTGGGGAAAAAAAAAAACCAACACCGGAAAAAGCTTCCAGATTCCTTTTCCTTGTCCTTAAAGTAATGAAACAGATAATTAATTTTGTAAGTAAAATTTGTCTCATGATGATATTGCCATCTCACAGTAGCGTGGCTAATACAGTCAATAGCCAGGCCCTACCTTATTCTATGTGACAAATTAACAGTGTATTTTTTATGACTTGCAGCAAGTTGGATAGTCTAAAACCACTTATGTCCTAAAGAACATTGTGAGCAAGTAATGACCTTTCATGAGAAACTATTCAGCCTCATAGAACATACTCACCTTTGACACTGATGGTGTTTTGACCTGATCTGAGTCCTGACAGAGGATGTAAGACAGGTATTTCTCCACCTGGGTCTTCATTGCCAGATATGGGCTGAGAAGGCATAGCACTGAGCCGCACTGCAAAACGCCTGCTGAAAAGAAACATCTTGTTAAACAAAAATAAAAATCAAAAACCCCAGAGCAGAGGGGGCCCAAGCATCAGTGCCATTTCTCCAGAAGTGATGAACCTGGAGCGTGTTGGCTCCTCACCTGAGAGCAGCTCAGGCTCCTAAGCCAGGCATGTTGCATGAAAGACCAGCATAACTTGCCTTCTTGAGTAGGTCTCCCCCAGCCTGAGCTGATCAGGTGAAATACTGTCTGAAGCGCAGACACCTCCTGAAGCAGATGTTTGCTGTTTTCTGTCCAGGACAACATGCTGCCTGCAGGGAAAGACAGGTTCCTACCTTTCCAATTCCCTAGTCAGAGGGAGCGCTTTACCCTGCACTGCTCTAGCTCCGTATTTTCCCTCATTGGGGGTTCTTAAAGAGCCTTCTCTTTCAGATGGAGCACTGCAGGGCACTGGGTGAGAGGCAACAGGGAGGTGGGAATCATGCTCCCTCCTCTACCACCAAGCCCCCATCCATCCATTCCTGGTAGACAATGCCATTTGTCCCAAGCACAGTGATGAAAGTACATCACTGACAACTGCAAACCACATCAGGCACTGAATTCCACCCATACGAAAAAGGAGAGGAGTGAGAAATGCAGTCTGGATGGCAGCGCTTGTCTCAGGGATTAACCCTCAGCATCCATCGAGAGCCCCTCACCCAGCACACGTTTTTGGGGGGCAACAAGCAAGCTCACTGAAGGGTTCTGCCTCTCCATTGAGCCTTGTGGCAGAGCCCTGTTTGTAGGCTGCTCTTTCTGTTAATGCTCTCTGGGAGTAATTCCCTGAAAGCTGTGCAATGTCTAAGCAGGGGCTTGTCAGGAGAGCTGTGTCCTTCTCTGCATGCAGGACACCCAAATTCACGCTTCACAGAGGGACGCAGTTTTTCCACCTTCAGGCCACAAAGTTACCGGCTGATGTGGTGTCACTGAAGTCACATCCAATTGCTTTGGAACCAGCAATAATCCCCCCCAGAAACAGCAGAAGAAAAGAAGGAACAAAAAGTGTTCCCTGCACAGCAGATCTCCTGCCTCAGTCTTTGCAGTTTGGCTGCAGAGCACAGGCACGCTGTGCAGGAATTTGCACTACAGGGCCACATCCTCTCATCCTTATTTCCAAGCACGAGCGTGCACCAAATACTGCAGTCTTCAACCCATACAACGAGGACTAGATTTGGTGAATCCTTGTTAGAGGTCTCACAGTGAGATTCCTGTTCATGTTAAGTTTTTTTTTCTACAAACTCAGGCCTAGTGAAGATAATTTGAAGTAAGGTAGATTTGCGAGCAAACTGCACCACTGACTCCTTTGAAGATTTAACTCTCCCTCACAAGATGTAGGGAGAATGCAGAACTGAAAGACAAGGAAGCAAGGAAAAAATTCAGTTTGCTGTGTGAGCAGCACCTTTTAGCAAGCTCCTGGAAACTCAGGCAGACCCAGTGTTCTGCTTGCTACAGGTTCTACTGGCAGCCTCCCCCTTCCCTGAAGGCACTGCTAAACCAAGCAGTGAATGTCTCCAAACAGCAACAATATGAGAGAACCATTAGACACAAGCATCCTAATTTTTAAATGCTAGTATCAGAGGAGAAGCTAGACAAAATATTTCAGAAAAAATATCTATTATTCAAATTCTAGCCACCTGGGGAGCCCCATTGCCATACCTGCTGAAGATACAACTCGAGGCTACATTTAACTTTAACTGCTTAACAAACCTTGCGTTCTTCCATTCATTTTTCATACAATGAATCATTAGCTCTTCTGCTTATTGAGGAAGCCACTGAATACACAGTGGTCCCATTAGGTAGTGTAAGCCAAGCAGCTACCAAGGCAGTGAGTCTTCCTTTGCGGCGTCCTCTTTCTTATCTTTTCACCCTCAATAATACCTTTAGCAACTCAGCTTTCTCTATGGTGACTAAATCAGCACAGGAGAAAGTGCTCAGCACTTTTGGCTGTAATCACTCTTCATGCAGCTGTTCTCTACATCCTCAGGAGAAAATGTAGAAAGCAGCCTATGTGATGGCTCAGCTCTGCCACCAACTTATTCAGTCAGATAACCAGCAGCCCTGCAAGCTATCAGTGTCACATAGGATGCCAACCTCTATTCCAAATATTTGTAGAAATAACCCTTGGCTGCAAGGATGCTGTCCTCCTAGTCACACAAAGTGCTGAATTTCATAATAGCAACTGAAGAATGTCCCAGATGATTGCACATACACATGAGACAAATTTTAGCAGCCGAACGGAGCGTATATTGCAAAGTGTGAGAAAACAATAGGAATAAAATACAACCTGGTTGAAAAATATTGAAATTCAGATAAATTGCTTTCAAACAAAACACGGCCTTTGCTGATACCTCTTACAAATCCTACTTGCGTTTCCAAAACAAAGACACAGATTTCTCTTTTCTTGTAGCTGTAAAATAAGAACTGTATCTTTAGATGGAGTCATCAGCAGTTCTTTCTATTCGTTGTTTTTGGTTGTCTTCTGCAAAACAAGAACACTAGCAGATGTTGTTCATGTATTACATGGGCACTGCTCTGGATGGACCTGGATCACTAGCAGAACTATCCTTCCTGAAATTCTGCACTGTTCTAAAACGGTGTGGGTCACTGCTGTCACACTGAGTTACATTCTTTCTTAGGACAAGTCCAGTTAGAAGATGTTGCTGGCTTTGCAAAGCCATTTGTTAGGAAGGAATCAAACAGGAAGACTGCTGTGCTACCTAATCATCCCACATATATGTATCCTGCACAGGCAAAAAAAAGTCCTTTGGGCAGCAACCTTTATTTGAGAGGGCTGTGCTTCCTCTAGGAGCTGTGGCAATCATTGGGCTGATTAAGACTTTGTAGTGTAGGCTATCCCTTAACCTTAGTCAGTCATCAGAGTTGAATGAATATCCAGGAATGTGCAGCACAGAAATTCCCATATCGAGTACAGAATCCAGTTTCTGATTCTTGAAATCATTAATCTGAAATGCTAAAAAAGATCTAAGAAAAGCTCTTAGGTCTTTCTTCCAACGAAATTACCCAGCAGCTCCATACATTAATTGTAAATTGCATAAAGCAACATTTTACTATCAGCTTCTAGATGTCCTGCCTCCCAGTTTCACCTAAATTCCCCTTACCCCATTGCAGCCTCTGGCTCACCTTTCTGCCATCAGCTTCATCTATCTCCACCGCTTTCCTCTACAGATAAAACACAGAAATCATAAGAGATAAAGATGAAAAAAAAACCCAAAGTGGTCTGAAACAAACTTCTGAAGAAGAAATGTCTCCCAGTGCACACCTTTGTTCCAGATTAATTTTAAATTCTCCAGTCAATAAAAAGATAAGCAATTCATTTTACAAGCAGTTACACCGCAGTCCTGAGATTTATCTCAGTCTATATATTTCTTCATTTCAGCCCCTATTGCAGCCACTACTTCTTTAATAACTCTGCATTCAAATACGTGCGGGTGCCTAAAATAAGTTTCTTTAACATGCTGATAAACTCAGATTAATTCCAGTACTGCTGTGGAGCAGAAATCTCTAGGGAATTAAGGAAAAGATGCCACCTCAATAAGAGGAAAGAAATCATCATACAGTTAATGCATATTTTTTTCTATCATGGTTGCATCAAATATCACATTCGCTTCCAGAAGCTGGCACCTACTCCTGGTTTCTGCTTGAAGCCTGAAATGAGATCTTTTTTGTGTAAAGAGTGTTTTAATTTCTGCACAGCTGTATAAGAACAAATAACAAATCATCCTGGACTTCTTGAGATACTAAATGCCATTCCAGGCTATTGCTTGAAAAAAGAAACCACTAATACAAAAGGTTTCCAGGCAGTGCAAGATTGAATGCAGCTTACTCATCTGTGGGAAATTCATTTCATAAAGCAATTTAGAATCCACCTAATCAAAAGAGCCTCACAGACCTATGCATGTTTGCATATGCTTAATAATACTTAGTAATTAATCAATAATTATTTGTATTTTAATAAAGGTTATTGTCTGTAATAGTATTTTACGTATTCTAAGAACACTTTGAATAGAAGTTCATCATTCCAGCTTACTTGCCAGTGTTAGACCAGTATTGCTGTCTCTGAACATGAAGAAGCCTTTAATTTCAGAATATCAAACTTCAGAGTTTTCCTGGTTGTGAAGATCCCATGCCCGGGGTCAAATTCTCCTTCCAAAGGCTTTGCAGCTGCAGCTATGAGGCCTTAGGACCTGTGGTGCATTCCCTAGCCTGTTGTCCATTCCTGTTCTTGCACTTAAGTCTTTCTCAAAGGATCAAAAAAGTTAGTCACTTATTCCCTTTTCTGTTGCAAAAATATTGAAACTCATAAGGAATGTCTGTGTTGCATGATCATCTCTGGCTTTATTTTCCCTCTCCATCTTTCCACATGGGGGATTTGATTTGCTTAACTAACCTAATGTCTTTTTTCAGGTGTAGGTCTACAGGTCTACCACTAATCTATCATAAATCCTGTCAAGCTGCCACCATTGCCAACGCCCAGAGCGATGCCCTGTACAACAGAAGGGAAATCATGAAGCACATATTAATCTTTAGCCTTACAACTCAAATTCCTTCATTGATAAAGGCTATTATAGTGAATTGCCAGAGAGAAGTATGTCCTCTGAGCGTGTAGCTTTGTGCAGCTTAATTTTATTTGCTTGTCTTCAAAAATACAGTAGATCATGTTTAAGCAAGCCATTTTCATCTAACCTGTCTAGAGGCACTGTTAAGGACATGTTCTAAAGGCCTAAAATATAGTCTGGTCTTCTGTATAGGAACTAACAGAAAGGTGACAGACCACTCACACAGAACCATCTACATTTTTTCCCCCCAAATCTGTAGTGCTATATAAGCAAAAGTATTGTCTTTAACAGCTTTTAAATCCATAAGACAGCCAAACAAATGTGTTTTTCATTTTTCTTCCCAAAATCTAAAATAAGCTGTGAGAGAACTAAAGGGGAAGCAAACGCTGGGAGACTTTTAAGAAGTACATTTATTTATTCTGATGGACCTCCTACGAACATTTCAAATTACCTGTGAAAAGCCAGCCAGACACTGCATCGATCCAGTCCTAATGAGGGTAGACTGGAGCAAAGCTGAGAGCTGGTCCAAGTCCCCACTGGGTCATTTCAGCACACACATAAGGAGGTAGATTTAGTTTTCAACTGCTTCAGCTCTTCTGCATGCTGTCTCTTCATCCTAGCCAGCCATAAGAGGAAAAAAATATCAGAAGCTAGAACGGTGAAATCAGTAAGCTGTGCAAAAAGCAGTCCTAGTGTTATGGATTGAGGCTGGATGTGGCTCTGGGCAGCCTGGTCTGGTGGTTGGTTGTCTGTGGCAGGGGGTTGAAACTAGATGATCATTATGGTCCTTTTCAACCCAGGCCATTCTATGATTCTGTGATCTTGTAGGCCTTCATTCTGCTCTTCCTTATTAATGATAATTCTACAAATCTCATTCCTCCACTGAATTGGTTAAAGAGGTTTGTTTCTAATTTCCATTTAGAAATGGCCTAAAGTAGATTTGATAAAGACATGTATATATTAATAATAATTAGTTTTTTTCAGAAATAATCGGAGAGAAAAACAATAGACCTTTGTTTTGGGTGGTGATGGTATTTCTTTTTAAGTTAAGGTAAGCACAGCAGCATCTTGCATAAACCAAGCATTTCAGCCTGGGATCCTACAAACCTCTCACTCCCTGGAAGATCTTAGCTGTACTCATGTATTTGCATAAAAGCTGTTCAGTTTGGGCATTCTGAGAACTAAAACATATTTGGACATTCTGAGAAGGGAGGAAACACAAGGGGAGTGCAAGGATTTCTTCCTGCCCAGACCAGAACCCAGCACCTGGACCCGCCAGCATGTAAACGTGGATCTTTAAGAGACACATTACTAATGGTGGCTGCATCCTAAGCCGCTGTGGAGATACTGTATTATAGGATATTCCAGAGTTAGAAGAGACCCACTGAGTGACCACTGAGTCCAACTCCTGGCTCCAAAATTAAAACACATTTTTCTGAGAGCATTGTCTTCTTGAACTTTGGCACTTGGGGCCATGACCATTGCCCTGGGCAGCCTGTTCTGTGCCTACTGAGGGAAAGACTGCAGTGATCACAGCTTAGCTCCCTACTCAGTCACCAACAGCCACAAATGTTGAAGCCTGCCAGCTCAGGTGACACATCTTTAGTGACTTCCAAAAACAATCAGTGCAATAGCCCTCCTCTTCCTGCTTCCACTGCCTGCCTCCCCTCCACAACCTAACCTTCATCACTGGAGATCTGAAATGTCCTCCAGCTTTTCTTCAGGAACCCAGTACCCCATTTAGAGAAATCTCAGTTTGCTCAACACAAAGCATTCCTTCTTTACGAGTAAAGCATCAGTGTATTCAGGTCATGCACTGTTGCTAGTCTGGGAACAACTATACAGTGTTGTGAAGCTTACCAAAGGAGTTGCCAGTGATTTCATTTGTGGAAGCAAAATAAAAGCGATAGATAGATAGATAGATAGATAGATAGATAGATAGATAGATAGATAAAAGAGAAGAATATTTACAAGAGAGAAAACAACATCCATCACGGATGCTGTGATGATTGTTGTTCATTTGTAAACCTCACTTCCAACATGGTTTCCAGCAGCGAGGCCTTTATTGTCATCTACACAACAGTCTGCCCTCATTTCATCTCTAAAGAGGTTTGGTTTTTTTTTCCAGGAGACATGATGTATCATACCCTGGAAATACCTGAGCTCTTTGCCAGGTTAATTGCTTATTTAATTGTATTGTCCATGTGAGCTATAAGATGTTTCTATCCTATATCTTTATTTTTTATGTATTTATTTATTTTTAGGAGCACCTGAAAGCTTTTGACCGGGAAGTAAATGCATTTGTGGACTATATGTTTGGACCTCGAGGTAAGCTGCTCCACCTACAGTCCTTTTGGGAAACCTTGCCCATCCAGATTACCACTCAAATATTCTGATAGTTAGAAACACTCAACAGCCAACGTTTTCCCTCTGAATAGTTTGTAATTGAAAAATATGAACTAGGCAGAATCGTGAAATATTCCTAGGCAGGAAAACAACACTGTTGTAGGAATTCTGTCAAAGCTCTGCATTTATAGAAAGCCAACTCATTTCTTGCTTTGTTTGACGTACTACCTGTAACACAAATTAAAACCAGTCACATCATACTGCAGATGAAAAAAGAAATGAAACATTTTTTTTTCAAGCTTACACATATCACTAATTTTTAGAGTCTGTTGTTTCTGAAAATGTAATAAGATTTCAGCTTTACATCTCAGTGTAAATTTAAAAAATGAAAACTTTGATTTTTCTGAAAGTGGAAGTTCTGTTCTTGAGGGAATGACACTCAGTAATCTAGGCATCGTTTGGCCCATCTACCAAACAAAAGCATAGTTCAGAAGGATGCTCAGCACAGCAGCAATAAAGCGCTTTTAGCACTTTGCAGGATCACACCCACAATTTCAATAACCTGATAGATGGTGTGAAAGAACAGGTGCATCTTTTGATGCTGAGAATAACCTGAATTACCATAGTGCTTGTTTAGCAGAACTTGGAGGTGCCTAGTTTCAGTCCTAATAGAGCACAGGTAATAGCCGTAACAACAGTTAGAGCCAGGGACAAAAATAATGAAGTAGGACTGCAGAAAGAAAGAGAAGGGCTACTGCAAGGTGAGGATGGAAATGTCAAAAATCAGGATTAAGATTAGAACAGGGCCAAGCAACTAAAGTAAAAAGCAAGAGAAGAGTTTAGACAGCAGACCCAGCCATCAGGGAAGGCTCTTGTGAGGCAATCCTGCTGCTGGTAGGCCTGGTTTTCAGGGCGTCCAATTTCAGGAACAGTGCTTAAAGCCAAAATTGCTGCTGGTGGGGATGGATGATACGTTCTCATTTTGTTGCAGTAGTATTCTCTAAATTGCAGAAACAGTTCTTGCTGATTTAGGAGGAGAAGGGAAAGAAAACTGTGACATTCTTAAAACCAATAAATTCTCTTTCTTTTTTTTTTTTTTTTTGCTGTCTGGCTGAGTACAAAATGTTTTCCATCCTTTCTGCTGTAGATGCGAAGCTTGAAAGAAAGCTTTCTAGTGAATAAACAACAGCTTGGGAACTGCAGCAGAAGTAATTAAACAAACTCATTCTATCTGTCTTAATTAACAGCCTCTACAGCAATGTATTTTAATATTATCAAAAACCAAAACCTGATTATTAGCATAAAAGTACTGTTGTTGTTTTTAATGGGAGTGGAGTTCTCCACCACTTCTCTTTCCTCACTGGTTCAGAATACATTTTTTTGAAGGGGCAGGTTGTAGTCAGTCCAACACAGAGTCCAACACAGATCTCTTCGGATTTTTACGAAGCACTTCAGTTGTGTACCATCTGTAATACTTGCCAAGTACATCACCATCATCACCATCCCTCTCCAGACATAAATGCTGAAGATAGCGTTTGTTTCTCCATGCCTCTTCACCATGCTCTTATTTGGAACTGGCTGTATAATGATGCTGCATCATACATTTCAGGTGTAAGAAAGCTTCCTCCAAAATGTTTACACCCATAAATAATTCACAGTCATATGCAAACTGTTTTAAATCGGATAGAATGGCCCCGCAGACAAAAATCTAATGAATTCTTGGGAGAGTTTTCCCAGTTGTCTAAAAGCAACAAGTTATCCCCCTTCTTTCTCTGCATGAGTTTTATATAATATACCCACTTCATTAGGCAGCAAGACAGCTTACAAATAAACATCAGTGCTCTATTCCTTTCGAATCAGTCCCATATATGTGGTCTATATTTTAGGTAGCAACTCTTGAAATAGGAGAATCACAACACTGGCTATAGTTATCATTACTTGATGCCAAATCAGGGACAAAATCAGGCATGAGTTCCTGGAGGCAATCTCTGCTCACACTTGTAGTTATCAGATTAATACAAACTGCAGTACTGCACAATTAGAACAAGGGGTGTGCTGTCAAAGATACAAATTTGATTGAGATGAAGGTCTCTTTTGTGCTTGTGCTTTTCACTGCCAGCTGGACTTTGCACACAGATTTAGATCAAATTTACATTTGACCTTACAGACCAAGTCCTTTGGATCAGGGAACAGAAGATGCATACATACTTATCAGTTGCATCTCTTGATAAGAAGTGGTCTTACAAATTGATTTTTGTCCATGTTACCCTGGATGGACTATCTATACAGAAGACAAAATGATGAAGAGTGAAAAAATACATGTTGCTCTGGAAAAAAAAAAAAACTTTTTTCAGGGCCTTCACACTCTACTGATATTATTTAGCATTACACAAAGCAACACTGAGTTGTAGGACCCAAATCTAGTTAATGGGCTGCTTTTTTAATCTGTCAAAGAAGCAAAAGAATAGACATATTTCAACAAAGGAGGATAAAGTAGTGAGCGCTCTCTCTACTCAACTGAATATAAACACTAGTAAAGCATTGCTACAGAACCATCCACCCTCAGCATCTGAAAAGATCAGAATCTACTCATACAACAGCTGGCCAGAGCTATGCAGTGACCTCGATCAAAACGTTTCTCAGCCTCACTGATAAAAGACTGATAGGTCTAAAGAGCCTGGGAGGCTTGCCACTCATTTCAAAGGAGCCAAGATTTCGCCCCAAAAGCCTGGCACATCATGGCCAGTGGCTGTGAATGAGCTTATTCACAGAACAGCCAGCTTGGGTGCGCCTGCTCCTACTCGCGTTGTCATCCAGCACTTTCACACTGTGGTTTTATTCACTGCAATAGTCTCAAAATCAGATAATGGATGGGTTCAACAGTGTAAAAATAATGCTTCCTCTCATTGACACTGTATTCCTTGAACACAGAGTATCCTACTGTCAGTCAATATAAATACTCCAGCTTTTTTCTTTCTTTTTTTTTTTTTTTTGAAATACAGTCCCTTTCCTTTGCCTTCCCACCACTTAAAAACCTCCTTCTTTTGTGGTTCAATGACATGGAAACAAAACGATTAGGATTCTCTGGCTGCTTTTTACTGATAACTATCTTACCCTTCAAGGTACCAAGGTCAAGTAGGAAAACTATCAGTAGGGAAACTGGTTTTAACAATTTCTCTAGACACCTGAAAATTAAACAGATCATAAACTTGTCACGCTGACCTGAGCAAACACGAGCAGTTTTGATTTTGTATGGATCAGGC